GAAGGGAACCTACACCTCCTGCAGTGCAGGAATCTCAACTAAAGCTTTCATTCCACCCACCCTGAAGCAGACTCACAGTTCTGCAGGCTCCGTTGCATTGGCTGTGAGGGTTCCCTGCACCTAGAAAGGCAGCTGGTCAGGGAGCAGGAGGAGGAGGGCTCTGGCCTAGCCTTCTCCCTGGCAGGCTGGCTTTTTCTGTGTGGGGAATTGATCTTTCTAGCATTCTCTATGTAAGAATGAGCTTTCACCCTGCAGGCATTTCTTTCCTAACTGGGATCATGTGGTATGATGACCCCTGTGGGGGTCTTCCTCTTTTCCTGTCATCGCAAGATGAGCGCATTTAGCAAATACGGTAATGCTGCTCTTCTGGCTTGCTCTTGAACTCTTGTGCGTTTTACGATCATGAGTTATTTCATAAGATTTATACGCTACTTGATTGTAAAATAAGCAAAAATCTCAAAGCGGCTTATGAAAGGACCAACTGAGAATTACAAGTCACCTTGAGAACTTTTCTGCAGTAAGCCATTAATAAATGTAGTAATAGATAAATCATTTTGAAAGCAAACCCTGGATTTCGCCACTAGCGGTGCATAATTTTGGGACCCACCTTATTCCTGTTGATGGGAGGTTGTTTTAAACTGTTTTTAATATTGTGTTTTGATTCTTGAAGGGCAGGTAGTAAATAATGGTAATAATCATCATAATAAACTGCAGTTTGAAATTATATTGCTGAGATATCCTTCTAATGGTGCTGCAAATAAAAATGCTAGCACATTTGCAAACCCAGGCAGGGTCTGGTCTGGTTTCAGATTGGATGGGGGGGGGCTTAAGTTGAGATTCCTGCCTTGCAGGGGGTTGGACTAGATGACCATTGGGGGTCCCTTCCAACTCTACAATTCTATAATCCACACTGAGAACTAGGCCCTTGTTGCGTGGGGACGGAGGGAGGTTGAAATGCTGGTTGCCCACAGGCAGAGAAATGCGCAGAAGTGGTCCAGGGTGACGCTGGGTGGGTCCTGGGCAGGATAGGATTGACTGGGGTGCCATGGGCAGACTCTGCCCTGTCCCTCTTCGCCTGTGGGTCCCTGAAGCACAGAGCCACCCTCTGGCTCATTCTTCTCAGTCCTTAGCTCCTTCTGATCTCCCTTGCAGGGAAAGTCTCCCTCTCCCACCGCGCTGTCCTTGCAGTGGAGGAGAGCCCTAGCAGGAAAGGCAGCAAACATCCTGTTCTCTCTGTAGCTGCAGCAGCCATTGCTCTTCCTGATCACGTTTCTCTTCTCTTCTCTTCTCTTCTCTTCTCTTCTCTTCTCTTCTCTTCTCTTCTCTTCTCATTGTCTCTCTCCCCTCCCCTCCCTTCCAGCCCTGGGGTCCTTCCTTCCTTCCTTCCTTCCTCTCGCAGCATCTGTGTATATGCCCCCCCCCAGCAGTTGCCATGAAGACGGGGCTGGCAGCAGAGCCATAAATAAAAGTCCTGTTGAACTGCGTCCATCGGAGGCTCTGTGCCAAGCGCAGGGTTTTTTTCATGGGCTGGGGCTCCCCCTCACCCTGCTGGCAAAGCTCCCCGAGATTATTGAGCTGGGCTGAGCTTTCAGGACTGGGCAGGCTCCCTCCCCCCCAGTGCTTAGAATCCTAGAATCCCTGAACACTGCTGAGTTGGAAGGGACCTTGAGGGTCATCTAGTCCAAGCCCCAGCAGTGCTGCACCCCCTTGGGGAGACCTCAGCGGGTCCCATGCCTTGGAAGTGCCAGTGGGGGGAGGGCTGTGGCCCTGCTGCACAGTGAAAAGGCAGGGAGCAGCCTTGCCCAAGTGGCTGCCTCTGGAGGATTCAGACAGCAGCTGCCCCCCCAATCAGGCGACTAGGCTGGCCAAGCCTCTGGATGGGGAAGGATCCTGAGGACTGTGGGAAGCTGCATCCCAACTTGCCGAAGTAAAATATAAATAAATGAAATGTTACACGAATTCTCTTACAGCTCATTACGCAAAGGGCTGTTTTATGGATGGGCTGTTTGCTGGCGGGGGGGGGGGGGTCGTTACTTAGACTCAGACCTGCAGTGTGTTGGGGGGGGGAACCATGGCTATTCCCAATAATTTTTTTTTTTTTTACATCAATGTTAGAAACTCAGGTATATACATTATTTGCCAAAAGGCACTTTAAACCTTGGTTGCGATCACCACAACAGAATGTCCAGGTGCCTTTTTATGGTGGGATTATTATTATTATTAATCATCATCATTCATTTCATTTCCATTCTGCTTTATATTTTAAAGACACAATCTGAAAGTGATTTACAACACTTGAAAACATCAAATAAAACACTCCAGAATAAAACAAATCCAAGCTTCCGGGAAAGTATTTCAGACCCTTCTCTAAGTGACATTTTACTTTCCCCATATTTACTTACCCACTTAATTTATAGAGCTGTCCCATAGCTGAAGAACTCTCGGAAGGCAGTGGGGTGTAGTGGTTAGAGAGTCGGATGAGGACCTGGGAGATGAGGGTTCAAATCCCCACTCCGTCATGAAGCTCGCTGGGTGACCTTGGAGTCAGTCACAACCTCTTTGCCTCCTTTGCAGGGTCATTGTAGGGATTAACGGACGAGGGGGGTGAACCATGGACTCCTTGGGATAGAAATGAGCTCTTCTGCTGAACCGCCTAAGAAAGCCGGAGGGGCCAGCCAGCCAGAGACATCAGTTGCCAACCTGGCGCCAGAGATGCCGTGAAACGCACCTGGCAGCTTTCGAACACTGCTCCCAACCCCCTGAGCCAAAACCTCCCTCCTCATTTCAATTCTGTACCCACATGTGCCTTTTCAGTATGGTTTAGCTCTTGTGTGGTTTTGCTTATATGGCTTCTGCCTGCCTGGAGAAGGAGTCTGATGTTGGGGAACTGTTAACGGGTGTGTTGGGTTGGGGGGGAAGCATGAAGGAACAGGATCTTGCCCTGCCTTGGGCACTCTTTGCTCAGGGCTCCTTCCTTCCTGCAAAGGCGCCTTTGCTGCAGCCTGGCCAGGGGGGGGGGGGGCTGGGCTTGCATCAGGGCCATGGAGTGCTAGCTGCCAGCCTGCCTTCTGTGTGTGTCTCTTGGGGAGGGCTGCAGCAAGGGAGACGTCTGGTGGGGGCACTCAGCAACTGCACTCTCTCTCTTCTCTTGGCACATATGCTGGATTGCAGTAACACCTCTCAGCAAAACCTCCATCTACCGCCAAAGTCAGCGTTGCACGTAGCATTCACAAATCCTCGTTGTGTGTTGCGGAAACCTGGCTACTCTTTCCATGCCATCTCTGTCCTGATAAGGAAAGCCACCTTGCCTTTGTCCGAATGCCACTCCCTGCTAACAACCGGCTGATGAATGAACTTGGATCGAATTGTCTGATTGCAGGGGCAGCGCAAAAGAACATAGATCATCAAATGGTGGAGTTGGAAGGGACCCTGAGGACCATCCAGTCTAACTCCCAGCAATGCAGGAATATGCACCTGTTCCTTACAGGGAACCTTGGCGTTATCAGCACCACACTCTCACCTGTGGAGCTCTCCACAGGGCCATCGTCTCTCTGCATTTTCTGGAATTTCCCCCTGTAGCATTGCCAAAGGGAGCATGTTCCGTTTCCCCAGCATGGGTTGGTTCAGGTTGATCAGATGGGAGATGCAAGTCGTTGCTCAGCAACTGCGCTCTGCGAGAAGAGCAGGATCAGAACTCGGGCAGTGCTTCTCTCCCTCTGCCTGGTAGGCAGCCCCTCAGCCTTCAGCTGCCTCTGCTGCTGCTGCTGCTGCCTCCTCTTCCTCCACCTGCTCTCATGGATCTCTGCTGAAGCTGGCTTGGCTGTGATAGAATTATAGACTTACAGAGCTGGAAGGGACCCCAGGGGACATCTAGCCCAACCTCCTGCAATGCAGGAATCTCAGCTAAGGCATCCATGACAGATAGCCATCTGCTTAAAAAGGATAGAGAGTCCACTAGAGATCCGGAAAGGGGCAGAACAGCTGCTTGGTGTGCAGAAGGTCCCAGTGCAATGCTGGGGAGACCCCCCTTCCATCTGCATTCCAAGCAGGTGTCCTACCGTGTCCTTTTAGAACTTGGCTGCCATGCTGCTCTCCCCCCTGGCAATTGTTTGCTGGCTTTATGATGTTATTAATTGTTGCAATGGCTTTATTGATTTGCTTTTATGTAAGCTGCTCTGGGCGAGGCTTTGTTGGCTGAAGAGCAGGATAAAAATATCTCCAGCAAACAAAGGAGTAGAGCCAATGGTGCTGGGAGTCTTTCCGCCCCCCCAGCTTTCCCCAAACTGGTGCCCTCCAGAGGTTTTGGAGCGGAGCTGCTCTTGCCCCTGCAGGCAGCGTCCGGAGGGCGCATCAGGGTGGTTGCTGGGCAGTGGATGCACCTGTCCTCTGAAACTGATCTGCCTCCCCTCCCGCTCTGGAGAGGTCAGTTGATTGCCTTGCCCAGCCACTGGTGCCCCTCGCGTTGGCAGAGGCTGTTACGAACATCGGAGGAGCCGAGCTGCTGGATCAAGCCCCTCTTTGAGGAAAGCTCTTTGGGGAAACTCCTGCTCACGAGAGCCTTCTCCCCTCCTGCAGTTCCCAGCAACCGGGTTTCGAACGCCTTGCTGCCTCCGACCGTAGAGGCAGAGCAGAGCCAGCCTGGCTAGGAGTCCTGGGTCGCCATTTCCTCCTCCATGAATTGGTCCCGTCCTCTTTTAAAACCATCCAGGTTCGTGGCTGTTGCTGCTTCCTGTGGGAGTGCTTTCTGCAGCTTAAGTCTGTACTGCATGAAGAAGGCCCTTCCTTTTATCTGCCCCGAATCTCCCACTGCCCTCGAGTTCCAGTGTGACGAGAGAGGGAGGGAAACTCTTCTCTGTCCTCTTTCTCCATGCCAGGCATAATTTTGCAGACTTACCGTCCCAGCAGCTCCCAATTTACACAGGGGCTGCATTCCAAGGTATGCCTGTGCTGTAGTGTTGGCTCCTGTTGTCTTATTGGGCTTTTTGCTGCTTCTGTTTCAGGAAGCCAGGCCTCAGCCCCAGCCTCATCTAAGGGAGCAAGAGCCCTGGGACTGCCAGGAGGCCCTTTTGCTGTCTGCTTCACAGGTAAGTCCTGGCGAGGCCACAATGAGCAGCTGTGCCGTAGCTTGGGCTCCACCACCGGAAAGGGCCTTTCTCTTGCCTCCGCTGCCTGCATTTCCGCCGCCTGCAAAGGGACGTGAGGAGAGCCTCGGAAAGCAAGTCCAGCTCCCCAAAAGGTGGCAACACAAGAACAGGCCTTTTCGGTGGTGGCTCCCTGATTGTGGGATGCTCTCCCCAGAGAGGCTTTCCTTTGGCTGTTAAATCTTCTGTGACCTGTCAAAGCTGTTACTATGATTATTTTATTATCATGCTGTTTATTACTCTGCTTTTTATTACTTTTGTATTACTGTGCTCCATAAAATGTGTTTTTAATGTTGGGATCTTCTGGTAAAGGTATAGAAATCAAATAAATGAATTAAGTAAAAGTGCACACTTTAGGTTTGCTCAAGTTAAGTGAGTTGGCCCTTGCACAATAAATCCTCGCTCCACAGCAGTAATGAAAGGCTTTTTGCAGCTAACAGCCTAATGGGGGAAACGCAGAGCCAGCAAATCAGGATGGCTGCTCAGCAAACAAGTTGCCTGAGATGCCAATTGCACATGAATATAACAGCAAAAAATAAAGATGGAACCAGTCACCTGAAGAGCAACAGACCACAACAAAAAAAGATTCTGCAAAAAAGACAGACTGCTTTTTCTTTTTTAAAAAAAAGATATACAGGCAACTCCCCATTTACATGGGAGTTATGTTCCAAGGCACTGTGTGTTTAAGTGAAATTGTGTACAGTGGTACCTCGGGTTACATACGCTTCAGGTTACAGACTCCGCTAACCCCAAAATAGTACCTTGGGTTAAGAACTTTGCTTCAGGATGAGAAAAGAAATCATGCTCCGGAGGCACGGCAGCAGCAGGAGGCCCCATTAGCTAAAGTGGTGCTTCAGGTTAAGAACAGTTTCAGGTTAAGAACAGACCTCCGGAATGAATTAAGTACTTAACCCGAGGTACCACTGTATATTGCATTGCAAACGGCATTGGGAAATCCTGCAAACACCCTCTAAATCTCTGGAAACCCTAGAAAATGCCTTTAAAAAACTAGCAGCACTCATCAAATCCACTACAATCCCTCCCCCCAAGCCCCCTTGCTCTCCACAGACCTCAAAATTCAGTGCAAAGGCTTGTGGGATGACTAGGTGCTGTTTTTGCACTGTTTTGCCGTTTGCGTGCTCTTGCGAGGGCGGTGTTTGCTCCTTTTTGTGCCGCTTCCCGGTTTGTGGCAATGCGCCCATGCCTCAAGTGCGCGTAAATAGGGAGCTGCCTGTACTCCAGTACTAAACAAAAAGAGTCTAAAGGAAGCGTTTTCATCTAAGGAAGACATTGCATGATATCAGTTTTGGGATTTGAGAGTTCCTTTGCAACTGATTGCATTTGTTGCTCCATCAAGGAGTAGAGAGTCCCAAATCCTGCCATACGTGATTATTAAGTCGGGAGGAGGGAGGGGGAGGGGGTCACCAAAGCCGCTTTTTATTGACCAAATGTCTGCAGTTTGTTTCTGACTTGCCTTCTTTTTCCTGACAGGGGAGTGGAGCTTGGGAATAAAAGGCAGCACTTCTAAGTGCTTTTCTTTTAGTGAGTGAGTCCCACCTTCAAGAGAGCTTTCCTGGGAAGCATTTTGGGCCCAGGAACAGGGCTGCCCCATGACTGTTGCGCTCCTTTATTTTGCATCAGCACGGAGTGGAATCACTTGGTGGAGTTTTTGTCCTGGGGGGAGCCCTTTCTTGGTCTTCCAGTTCTAGGTGGGGGGCAGAGCAAGCTCTTGTCATTGGGAGAATGGTGTACAGAGCCTACCATTGCCTCCTCCAGTGGTGTAGTGGTCGGGGTGTGTGTGTGTCCATATAGAATCATAGAGTTTGAATGGACCACATGCAGTGGTGTCCCTGTCTCCAGCAGAGTAGGGAGGAGCCCACTTTACGCTGCAGAGCTATTCCTCTTACAAACCCCTTTGTTAAACCAGAACACACCTCAAAAACGTAAATAAAGCTAAGCATTCGGGAACACTGAAAACACAGGGCACTCCAATCTCTAGCATGTGGGAGATTGTGGGCTCCAGCGGAGCCCCCCAGGCTATCCTTCCCTGAGTCCCTTTTGACCTGTAAAGATGGCAGCTTGTATCCTAGCTATGTTTCATGCTGAGCAAACCCATTGAAATAAAATCTACCCAAGCTAGGCTTGCCTGCTGATTTCCCTGGGTCTGATCCAGCAAAACATCTTCCTGCATATTCTGCACCCCTCCAGACCCGGGAGCCTGTGTCGGAAGCTTCTGGGTCAGACCCTTCACCCACCTAGCTGAAGCTTTGCTACAATGCCAAGGTGGCAGGCCAGGGGTACGTTATCTGGTAGTGTCACGGGGGGTGGGGTGGACCAGGCAGCCCCCCCAGCAGGTGGTCCACTGGTGGTCCACTTTGCTTGGTACCAGGAAGCTGCGCCATAAAGGGGAGCAATGGAGCATACCTTGCTGAGCACGGCTTCTTCCTCGAGAGGAGATCCTGGCTTCTCCTGAGCTGATCCTGAGGATGCCTCTGAGCTTGTCCTGGGTGCATCTGAGCGTAAGATGGGGCTGGTGCCTGCTGGCTCAGGGGTAGGCTATTTTTAAGGGAGACCTAATTAGTATTTGGGTCTCAGTCGGCCACTACCAAAGTGCCCTAGTTGTGGTTCTTGCCCAGGCAGCAGCAGTGCAGAGCGCCCACAAGAGGGCAGCAGACGCCCACGCAGTGCATGAAGGAAGATGCTCCTGACCAGAAGAGCTTCCCCTGCTTCAGTTTGGGGGGGGGGCTTTCTCTCCCTGTCTCCGCAAACAAGAGCCCTGGGCAAGCCTGCAGCCACCAGCAGGCACATGGCAGCCCTGAGGGTTTTATTGCAATATTTCACAAAGGTGAGGCTACACCATTCAACTGGATCCAGGGTGTGTTTGTTGGTGTTCTCAAACCCCAGTGCAATGCTCGCCTTGCTGGGTGGCCTCTCGCCCTCTCGGTTCTCTCCCCGAAGTTGGGATGAAAAGGAATCTTAGAATGGAGGCGAGTTTGGAGGGACCCCCAAGGGTCATCCAGTCCAACCTCCGCCAAGGCAGGAATCTCAAGTAAAGCATCTCTGACAGATGGCCGTCCAACCTCTGCCGATGCACCATGGTGTCTCTTCTCTTAGCGGTCATTCCTCCTCTGGTCACTGCTGTGGCTGCATGACCTGACCGTCTGTCTCCAGGCCCTGCGGTCGCCCGCAAGGGATTCCCACCTGGCAGGGTTGGCGCTGCCAGCCTTCAGGCCCCACTGGCAGGCACCTTTGTTCTGCCACCAGGCCTGGAGCTGGAAGCCAGCTCCCTGCAGAGCATGTCCTTGGCGATTCTGCCGCCCTCCGTTCTGTGGACACGACCAGGCCAGCTGGACGTTGTTGGGAGAGGAGTTGTTACTGGAGACTCTGCCTGCCATGGGACGGCCACAATCCTGACTCAGCGCATGTGGAAGCTGCTACAGATATAATATTATATACACGATATAAAGCAGGATGCATTTGCCTTGGAAGACCACACTTTGTGTTTGGGAATTGTTTTTAAGATTTTCAGTAAAGGGGGGTGGGGAGAAAATAGGACCATGGCCCTCATGGATCTCTGGGGAACAGACTGATTTAAATATAACAACAATAACAATAATATTTTATTTATACCCCGCCCTCCCCAGCGAAGACTGGGCTCAGGGCAGCTAACACCAGGTATATAAACAATGGATTAAAATACAACTTAAAAACAAGATTAAAATACAACATTAAAATGCAGCCTCATTTCAGTAGAAACTCAAATCAAAAACTTTTTGGGGATGAAAACGTCAGATCTTCACCAAGGCCAAATATCCAGACTTGTTCCATCACAGGAGAAAGGAAAAAGGAGAGAGGGGAAGGGGATCAAGTTGATTCCAAGCCAAAGGCCAGGCAAAACAACTCTGTCTTACAGGCCCTGCGGAAAGAAATCAGATCCCACAGGGCCCTGGTCTCAGGAGACAGAGCGTTCCACCAGGCTGGAGCCAGTGTTAAAAGGCCCTGGCTCTGGTTGAGGCTAATCTGACTTCCTTAGGACCCGGGACCTCTAGGGTGTTGCTATTTATGGGCCTTAAGGTCCTCCGCAGGGCATACTGGGAGAGGCGATCCCATAGTGTCAGGGAACTGACATCGGAGCTAGAGGCGGAGGGAAGGCTCTCAAATGATGCCGGAGAAGGGCCCAGCAGGGAGAGAGGGACCTCAGCAGAGGGGGAAGCAAATCAGCGCAACACCAGGGATAAAGGGGGGCAGATGGGGGAATCGGCGAGAGGGCTCCAGGACTCTTCACTGGACACCAGCGGGGAGAGCACAGGTCCTCCGCTACCCACGCCCTCCCTGCGCAGAAGACTTCCACGCAGTGAGAGTAGGAGGAGACTGGGCGTCAAACAACTTTTATGTTGGAAAAGGTTTAAGAAACGCCCACTGACGGATTCTGCTAGCGACTGAGGCAGCCACGAAGAGAAGGGCTGTCCAGTCAGAAAGGTTTAACAAGGCAATTTGGCCTGGAGAGGCGGCAGCTTACGCACGAGCAACCCCATACTCATTACACATAGGTACAAGGGTCATAGAAGCATCTGAAGCTGCCGTGTCCCAAGCCAGACTATTGGTCTTCCTGGCTGAGCATTGTCTGCCTTGACAGTCATTGGCTGTCCAGGCTTTCAGGCAGGGGGTGTCTCTCCCAGCCCTACCGGAAGATTATTTAATCCTCATTGTTATTTATCAAATTTCTATAGACAGACAGTCATAGAATCCTAGAGTTGGAAGGGACCCCTGAGGGTCATCCAGTCCAACCCCTTGCAATGTAGGAACTTTTCCCCCCATGTAGGGCTTGAACCCACAACCCTGAGATTAAGAGTCCCATGCTCTACTGACTGAGCTATACGTTTATAGTACAAAAAACACAAAAGTACATAGTGTAGTAACTGGGTGCTCATCAATGGTTCCTC